CCCTGCCGCTTCAGCTCGAATTTCCCAGTCTCAAATTACCCCGGGGTTGCCTGAGAGCTGGCTAGTTTTGTGCCGCTCATCCGAACTCCCCCAGCTCCATTTCTGTCACCAGATTTTTGCCAAAGGCTCTCAAATGTCCCTGTGCCCAAGAGCAGCACCTCCCAGTCCCCGTGGGCAGCCCTGCTGGGGAGCAGAGCTGCACCAGCCCTGGCTGCTCGACGCCGCAGGGAGCCGGATGAGCCTCGGCAAGGCAACTTCGCTCAACCGCAACGGCATTTGCTCCTTGGCCAGATCAGCACAGGGTCAGAGGTCCCAGGCCAAATACCGACATGTTTTGCTTAGTGGGGGAGCAGCCCAGAGTGTGTGGTTTTTGCTGGAAACCGCCTGGAGTGTTTCTCCTTGAAAACAGTTTCTCCCGATGGGGTTCCTTTGATGCTCACACTGGGAGCACCGCACACAGCAGTTACACTCCCGGCTGGAGCCTCCTTTCCCCTCACCCAGGAGTCCTTCTTGCCATCCCCTTCGGCCTCGACAGCCCCTTCCCTGTCCTGGGTGTGCCAAGGAGCCAGGGGCTGGAGGTGCTGGAGGTGATGGCAGGCTCTCTCACGGAAACAGCCCTGCCGTGGGGCAGCAAGCGAGGGAGTCCTGCTGCTGCCAACACCCACAAAGTGGTGGGGTCCCTGGGAGCTGCGAGATGCCAGGAGAAGCCAGTGAGGAAGGGGCTCGTGAAGGCACAGCTCACCCCAGCGCCTGCCCAGCTAAGCTGCTCCATAAGAAAGGCACTAAAGATCCGTGAGACCATTCAGACATCCCAGGTGGGTGTGATGAGCAGAGCCCCAGTCGTTCAGGGGCCGAGCAGAGAGAAAAGCTCTGTGTTTTTGTGGCATCAGCAGATCCCTCCCACGCCCCCCACTTTTGGGGTGACAGAAGAAGCCATCAAATGAGGCACATCTGCAGTGGTCCCAGCAGCAGCCTCTTCCCTTCCTGCTATCTCCTCTCTCCCCGCAGCCTGCTCCTTCCCACACCAGCCTCCTTCCAGCTCCTCGTGCTGGTGCTAATCCCCTAATCTGTCCAAAGCAACAATTTTCTGCATGGCACAGCAGCTGGTTTGAGATCTGCATCCCTCCTCCCCCAAAAGCCAGCTCCCTTATCAGCAGCAGGTATCAGGTGAGCCATGCACCATCTACCTCTGATAAACCTATGTTTTATTTTGCCCTATTTCCATTTATCTCTGAGCCTGTAATTATCCCTCTTCTCACAACATGTTGTGCTGCCTTGCGCTCTGAGGAGCGGAGGGGATGTGTGCTTTGCTGGGCAGCCCTGGACCACAGGCTCCTGCTGGCAGGGTTCGAGGAGCCGGTGGGGCGATGCTCGGGGAGGAATCCTGCCCGCCACGCTGGCTGCCGAGCCATCCCTCCTCTCTCCACACCCGGGCCGCATTCCCTTTAATCTCACACAGCAGCAGAGATGGATTTTCTCCCTGTGAGCCAGATGTGTTGCACGGAGCATAAACACCCGCGACAGTTGTTGTGCTCCTCGGTGCGAAGGCATCAGATGTCTGCATTAAAACAAAGCTCTCCACTTAATTACTCAGGCTGATAATTCAGTGCGTGGAGGCGGCTCTGGCTGAGAGCAGAGGGCTGGATCACAGCTGGGACTGGAGAGCCTTGGAGTGCGCATTAATCCCGGCTCTCGCAGCCTTGATTAACGGTGCTGGAAACCTGCCCGCCCTGCTCATTCCCAAGGGAAGGGTCTGTCCCGGCACCCACTCGCTGCCCCACTGGAGGGGGCCCAGGCTGGTGCCTGAGGTGCTCTGCTGACCCCTCGATGGGCCAAGGCATCCCCTGCCCAGCATCTTCAGGGTGGGGTGGTCCAGGACATGGGGACCATCACTTGGAGGGTGCTGTGCTGCCCTGAGAACACCAACACCCATCCACTGCATCTGGAGCCCAAGGGAGCTGCACGCAGGACAGGGAGGGCAGGGCCCCAGGGTCACCCATGCAGGGACCCACTGCAAGAGCACGGCTGGTGGGAGCTGGAGCCAGCCCTGTGGACAGACTCAGAGCAGGAGCAGGCAGACCACCGAAGGCTTTCTCCTTGGGGCTCAAGCTGCCTGCTACTGTTGACCTGCATTTCTTCTCCCATGGACCAGCAAACACCTCCTGCAAATTCACCTCGCTGCCCTCTGTCACCACTGGGGCCCAGGGCCTTCCTGGGGGAGGCCCTCACTCAGACGTCGGGGCAGGCGTGTGCCTTCAGCCCATGAGTGCCCAACCCTGCTCTGCCAGTCTCTGTAGGATGGGATGCTCACGCATTGGGCTGCTCTCTTGAACCCATCTCCCCTGCTGCCTCCCTCCAGCCTGATCCCCCAGCCCAGCCCCTACCCCCTTCCCTCTCCCCATCCCTCCCTGATCCCTGTGCCTGGGCATCCCTGGATCTGGGGCATCCGTCTCCCAGCAGAGTGCCCATCCCCCGGCACCCTGTGGACTGGTGCTGCCGCAGATCCGCCTGTGGGGTCCTGTCTGTCCAGGGAGACTGATTTCCTCCAGCTCTGCTCCTGCCCTCTTATCTCTCCTCCCCGGGCTGCACGCCTCGCTCCACAGCCCTGGCGAGCAGGAGTGATAGACCCCATCCTGCCCGGGCTGAGCACCAAGGCTGGTGCTGGGCATACAGGGCAGCCGGGCCCGATGCAGACAGGCAGGCAGCTGCGGACAGCACCACCCCAACGGGGCCCCAAGGGTTAAGTTGTCATGTATTCAGGGCCACGCGCTGGCCAGGAATTACACTTTTATCGGCATGCGGTGCTGCCGCCGCTTGAATTGGGACTGGGAACTCTATTTCCGAGCTCACCCAAATTATTCTCAAAGAGATAAAGCGCGGTGCAGAGCAGCGCCGGCGCTTCATTAACATTCCCCAGCCCATTCAGCTTTAAACGAAGATTGCCTGCCTCGGAAAATGATAAAATTGAACATGTGAAGCAGGGCATTATGTTCCATCAGCCGATATTATTTCCCACGCAGGGGCCGAGCAGAGACACAAACAGCTATTTATGCAGCGCCTGGCCAAGCCGGGGTGGCTTGGGAGGGGGGGAGCAGGCGGGGGGGGCACAGGGTGGGTGGCGAGTGCCCCCCTCCCATCCCTGGGCATGAGAGAGGCTGCCTGCACACTGCCATGGCCACTCTGCCCTACTGGGGGCTCCCGGACTTGTGCCCAGGGTGCATGGCGGGTCTGGGGACCACAGACCTGCTCCATGCATTGGGTGAGGGAAGGTCCTCAGGGGTGCGTGAGGTCCCCCGGGCGGCACTGGCCATGCCCTGCGAGGCTGGGCCATCTCCGTCTGCTGCCCTGCCTCCGGGGGATGTGTGTTCCTTGCTAGGGCTGAGCAAGCAGGGTGCTGTCTCCATGTGCAGGATGGGGTTCCACCTCCCGGGGCTGGGTGCTGGGCCGGCAAGTGCTGGGGAGCGCCTGCAGCCGGGGAGTGCATGCCACCCCGGAGACAGGCAGTGGAGGGCTGAGCAGGCAGGCCCCCAGGGCTGCAATTGGATTTTGCTTGGCCGTGCCGAGCCTATCGATCCAGCAGTAATTAAAGTCGCTCCAAAACCTGACTCATATTCAACCTTGGGAGGAAGGAGCTTCTCTGAGAAACACCCTCGGCTCCCCACGCGCTGGCACAGCGTAGAGCTCAGCCAGACGGGTTGCTGCCAGTCCGTCCCAGCCCCCTGCCAGGCTCTGTCCCCAAGGGGGACCCTGCCTTGGGACTGCCTGGTACCCAAGGCAGCAGCACCCCATCAGCCCTGATGAGGTTCAGCCCTTGGGGTGGGGTCCGTGCCACCTGGATCCTATAGCCCGGGATGAACCTGGGCTATTTTCTCACCAAGCGCCTCAGACACATCCCTGGGATGTGGGGGTGCTCCCCCGTGCCCCTTGCTTGTCACTGCCTGGGCCCTGCGTGGGACCGGCATGGGGAGAGGAGCCTGTTGAATCTGCAGCCGCCCCCGAGAGGCATCGGGGTGCTGGGGGGACCTGCTGCTGCATGTCCATGGGGTGCAAAACCACTTGTCGAGGTCAGAGGCAGCCGGGGAGGTGTGAAGGCATGCGAGGGGCTTGCGAGCGTGTGTGCGTGGGTGTGTGCACGGACTTGCACGCCCAGCCCTGCCGCCAGCCCCACTGCTATTCCCGGTATTCGCAGCAGGTCGGGACAGGCACCGAGGAGGGGGAGCTGCCATTCACCGGGGCCCCCCGCAACCCCGCCCGGAGCCCCCGCGAGAACGCAGGGCCACCAGGACCTGGGGGCTGCGGCTCGGAGGGGGCCCGGGGCTGGGGGCTGCTCCGGGGAAGCCCCTGGACGGGGCACCCCGGGGGGGCACAGCACCCTCGCAGCGCCGGGCAGCGGCTGGGCTTTGAGGCGGGGAGGTGGCTCCATCTGCAGGACACGGCCCCGGCCGGGAGCCCCGGTGCTGGGGGGGTCCCCACCGCCCCCGCCCGCCGCTTTGCATGCGGGGCACAGCGGCGGGGGACAGCGGACAAGGACAGCGGCTCCTCCGGCTCCCACCCGCGCCGCTCCCGGGAAGCGGGGCTGGGGAAAGCGGTGCCGGGAGCCAGCCCCCCTCCCACACCCCTACACCCCCCAGCGCACCCCACGCCCGGTGCTCCCGCCCGACGCCCCTGCACCCCCAGAGCACCCCGCACCCGCTGCGCCCGCACCCCTCAGGTGCTCTCGTCAGGTGTGCCCGGGCACCCCACCCGCCCTCAAAGGCGACCCCCACTCGGCACCCTCGTCCTGCCCACGGCTCTTGCCCCGCACCCCGGGGCACCCCACGCCCAAAGGCCCCCAGGCGGGCTCCCCCGAGCCGGCAGCCGTCGGGGCGGCGGGTCGGGGCCCCGGTGGCGGCGGGAGGCGGAGGCGGAGCCGGGGACGGGCTCCACCCCGGCCCCCGGCCCACATAGGCCGGCCGGGAGGGC